ACCGATGACAAATCGTACTGTACACGCGCGCATTTTCGTACACGAGAACTTCCAGTTCCACGGCCCATTCGTCTTCTCCTGTTTCGTTGTTTATTTTTTTGTTCAAAGACTTTGTACTAAACTAAAATCACTTCATTTTCTATCACACGATTTAATTTTAGTACGGTGTACGTGCACACGCATTTCGAAAATCAATCGGTGAACGCGATGACGATCGATCGATGGGAACGGCGTCGCGTTCTCACGTGTTTCTAACTAGCCAAAGTTTAGATCTTTTTTCGTTTATTATTCTTAATTCGTTCGCGACCTACGTCCCATTTTCGCTAATTCATACAATATCCTTTGCTCGGCGTCTCTCATCCCATCCCCCGCCCCCTTTTAATTCTGTCCATTACCTCGCCCACCCCCTGCCCCGTTCCCCACCCCCTCTTCCCCCTTTTTTACACTCATACACACGGACACAAGACATATATGTTTGACATATTATTATATTTACTATTATTTTTAATTATAATTTCCCAGAAGTATATATTATCTTTAATAATCGTGGTAATTTTTAGACTAGAAGAACAATATATTAGCGGATAGAGATTAAAGTATACATAAACAAANTCAGATTGAAACAAATCTCTCATTTCGCTAATTATAAGAAATCCGTTTCTACATTTCTTTTAAACTCCAAAGTGCCAATGATTTTGGTTATTTATAATAATATTTAACAAACCAATGAGGTTTTCAAACCGATATTGGTTTATCATTAGTGTCAAGATAATTCGAGTCGACTGTTTTTTCTTCGCCGGGATAATAAACAGTTTTAGAGATTGCGGGCCCGAAGTTGGACCACCATCCCCACCATTTCTTGGTCCCTTTCTTGGGTAACGTCGCGCGCGTCACGCGACAAGCTGATCTAACAGCGAGAGTGGGGATCGCCTGCTAAAGGAGATTCGTGGATATTCCAGCTAATATGCTGGTAGAAGGGGTAGAGAAACCGTCGTAGGGCCTTCTTTCTTCTGGCAACTATTTTCGGCATTCGACAGTGGCAACGACAGATGAGTGGTAGCGGCAGCGGCAATTGAATTTCGAAACTCTTCGAAGTCGGATCGCTGTTTCTTGGGATTTCTAGACCCAGAGTGTTTTATTTGCACGTTGTTCATTCGCGAATTGATCGCGAAAGTTCCGTGATTCCGTTCAGTTTTATTTTTTTGTTATCTTTCGGTAAATTTCGCTCACGATGCATGACTTGACCGCATTGAATGTTTCGGAAGAAAAGAAGATACCAATCTTTTATCCTTTAAATGATAGTCTGGAAGAGGAGATGAGGCGATTATTGGGGTGGTACTCTTTCGAGCCTAGTACCGCGACACCATCGAATGGTAAGTTTATTTAATAATATTATTCTTTAGTTTGTGAACAAGTCATGTCGGCAGGAATTTATCAACTAGTATCTGAGAATCGATCAAAGACGGGCTTAATCACTTGTACAGATTATAGTGATAGTCTTTAGTGAATATTTACAAATTTGGAATAATCTGTGAAGTAACATAATCATCTTGTGTCGTTTTTTTATTTGTAACTTGCGCGTTCCCAGTTTCTACGGTTTTAAAGTTCGTCGCCTTCTCTTTCCTGCAGATAATTATTTTTAAAATCTGTACCGATTCATTATGCGTTATAAAATCATTGTTCTATCGGTGGATACCTTAGATAGTTTGTATATAAACGAGTCGATCAGTATAATTCTTAATAATTGCAAAACATGGCCGTGGATTAACTCGTTTGCGATTTTTTAAAATTATTTATCCAAAAGAAGTTAAAAGTCTGCTACGTTCGTATAAATGGTATTAAATATTTTACTATCATGATGTTATATAAACGCAACATGTTGATTGCTTGTTCTGTCAAGAAAAGAGGCAAGTTTACAGGCAATTATTCTCCGCTCCGAGTAACACAGACTAAATCATGTAAATGTAAATAGAAAGATCACGCGTTTTTTTCTGGTACATTGAAAATATGTAGAACGTAGTTTAAGAAATGATCGACACCTTGTACAGAGAATAGAATTCTGAGAATATTAATGGTATTTGAGCACATATAATAGAAATAAAAACAAGGTGTTAACGAATGTCACCCAGACTTTTTGCGCGTTTCGCGTCGTTTCGCGTGTCTTTTAAAACTGACACAGAAGTAACATTTAGATCGTTAGACACGTATGCGTGTTAAATAATAATATATACAATCGTTTCTGCGTCGTTCGAAAAATTAGAACGTTCTTGTTTACAGTCCGCGAAAATCATTATCTGTATTTACGTATTGTCTCGAATTACATTCTCTCGTATCGGGCTTTGAAAAAGCCGAAATGGAAATATGTACCGCGGCCTACCATCCCATACTTCCTTTCAATCGCCGACTTCAAAACATTGAATTAAAAAAAAAGGTGTTTCTATAAACCGTTTCTTGTCTGATTTAAGTTGCAAATGTGATGGAGGAGTTCAAACAGAACGGAAAGGACTACGAGTATTGCCCAGATGTGGGCGATAATCAAAAGAGTCTGATAACTCCACGCCGAAAAAAGAACAAAAAGCCTTTACCTGTAGAATGCGTGTTCTGCAAAAATAATGGCGAGATGGAGATATTTTATAAGAGTCACGTGCTACGGGATACAACAGGACGTGTCACTTGTCCGGTTTTGAGGTAAATTTCAAATTCAACCAATCTTTTATTCTTTCGTTCGTTTTCTTTTATCAAGTAAATATGATCAGAGTATTAGTTGCGCCGGAAAGCATATTTTAATAGTGTAGAAAAAAATCTCTTGAAACTGAAGAGGGGTATTCACAGGCAATACTCTTATCGACACAATTTTTTTTCATTTTGTTATTAGGGCATATACGTGTAAGATCTGTGGTGTGAACGGAGACGATGCCCACACCAAGAATTACTGTCCAAAGCGGCCGACGAATAATAATCAAATGTCACCGGCGAACGCATTCAAAATGCTCAGGAATTCAACGGGCAAACGACGCAAATAAATTCCACGTACGCAACAAAACTATGGACTTCTCCGTTTCGAATTGGAAGCTGTCGACTTATTCCAGGGAAATATATTTTACGCTTTCTACACTTTTATCTAGTTTATATTAGAGTCCTAATTATATCTGATAGTTATATCTAGAGTTGTATTAGTATCTAGTTATATCTAATTTATATTAGTTCCTATGAGATCAGTATTAACATCGGCCAAAGTGTAAAATAAGTATAGACTAAGAGATTTTTCGACAAATTTTTACATAGTTGTATGCAAACTACTGATTAAAATAGATAATATCTGTCCATAACTATGATAATGCAAATGAAGACTTAACTGCACCGAGGTAACCGTTTAATTATGCTCAATTACTCTGTCAGTTTCTTCAGAATTGTATAAATATTTCATTTCTATGAGATTGTTCATCGATTAAATGCGCAGCGTGGCGAGATCTGACGAACTTAATTTCACGACGAATGATAATTATAGACGATCCTCGTTTATTTTCAATGTATCTACGAATCAGAAGGATATGCTCATAAGTATTGTTTGCTTTGATTTTAGTATTGCACGACGCGCTCGCTACGTTCGCGCATTTTAAACTATATTGTGCTATAACTGCTATATTGTATTTTTAGTATATATATATATATATATATTATGTATATGTAGTTCCTTATAGTATTATGTTAATTATTATGTCAACTACGACTTGACTATGTAAGTGTACACAGTCTGATATATTCTATTATTGATGTTTATAAAATATATATATATTGCAACATGTAAACTTGAGTTTCCCTCATTTCCCTATTGAAATCATTATCCATAACTCGTTTTCTTCGAAACCGTGTAAAAACCTAGATCCGATCTGTGCTTTATAAAACTAAACCATCAAACATTGCGTGACCATGCAACTCATAGAAGCTAAGTTTGCGCGGTACAAAGCTGAATTACGCCTAACAGTAGCAATCTTTTCTTGTCACTTTTTAATAATAAATAGCATGGCTAATTTATAGAGACTCTAAGGTTCAAATTATTAGATATAAAATTTCTCATGCCAATACAATATTGACTAATCGTTTACAAAGTCGACTTCCATTTTCTTTTTAAATCTCTTAACTCAGAGCAACGTATTTCATTTGTGACGTTTTATATTTTATACGTAATAATTCATACGTCCTCCAACGGTTTAGTACCTAAGTAGGTCAGTCATTGTACTTTTTCGCCATAACGAACAATCGTTCTTGCACGCACGGATAGCGTCATGAAAATAATTATAAAAAAGCATGGTACGTTAATTTCAGCTTGATAGTGTGTTAAAAAAGAACAGTCTACTGAATACGGAACTTGGAAAATCAGTATTTATAATGTACGCAGCGAGACATGCAGGAAAATTAGCTGTATCTGATCGCATCTTCTATCCAGCGTACAAATGATGACACAGCTCCGCTATTGTCCAAATAAAGTATTGAGAAACGGTCCATCTAACAAAGCCGTCGATTGACCTTGTATATGAATCTGGATACTCCCCATGTGCCAGGAAATACGAACGCATCCTGTCTACATAAACGAGGAGCCGCGTTAAAAATTGCTCAGTAGAGTACGTGACCGCGAATAGGAAACAAGTCATGCTGCGACTGTTCGCGTTAGTTTACGCTGCCACAGTCTTTTTAATAATCTCGGGTGTCTCGCTCGAAGATCCCAAAGAAAGGGTCGCAAGAAGTTCGCTCCATCGACAATCGTCCCCCTTTTTCCTGTTTCATCTACTCAAATTGAAGAAGAAGATTCAAACGATCGAGAAAGTGCCAACTCCGCCGCCGAACACAGATTGCATTTGCGTCCCCTATTACCTGTGCGACAGGAACCGCATGATTATCATTACGGATGGAATTAGCATGATCAATATCCGGTGAGTCGAATGAAACCGAACGACGTATGGCTGTTTAAATTCAATCCAATTCAGAGCATCAGGCGAAAAACGCTTCTCTATTTCTTTTGAGCAAAAGCAAAGATAATCCAATTCCTGCACACGACTTTTTTAATAGATACCGAAGATGCACGGGAGATTTAGAAGTGTGTTGTCGGCTGCCGAACATAACGACCACGACGACAACGACGACTATGCGAACGACTATGCGAACGACTACCACTACGACAACCCGAAGGCCCACCACGACCACTTCAACCCTTCCACCTGTATTCTTCCCTAACACGGAACCTCCAATTCCAATATGTGTTTGCGTGTTTCTGACGCAATGCTATCCGAACGGTATCATCGGCAACTTCGGCGAGGGTGTAATAAACCCTCGCCTACAATTCATTGTATGTCCGAGCAACACCGTTTGCTGTAGACCGACAAGTGTGATTCAGTACAATCCAGTTGCACCATCGTCGCAAATTTGCATCTTGTGCGGGGGCACGATCCAATGCAACGGAGGAATCGCGTTCCCGGTGAACGTCGGAATCGTGAATCCCCTGGTACCTTACGCGCAGCAAGGATGCTCCTTGGCTACTTCCTGCTGTCAGGGGGTAAATTCATTGTACGGGAACGGGCTCCCCGTAGTGATCGGGCCCGTTAGGAATCCTGGCACAACTCAAACCTGTTATTGTATGAAAACTTGGATGTGCAGCCCTGGAAATATTGACGGTACTGGCATCGTCGATCCGAGATTCGGAAACATATGTGGAAACGCGAATGAAGTTTGCTGTCGGGCGGTCAGCACTGTCAGCAGTATACAAAGAAGCGCGAATGACTTGCAAGAGTTAGGACAAAGAATCATGAACGGAGAAGCGTCGTTCTCTCAGCCCGGGTGCGGAACTCAGGACAAAACGTACGCGCCAGGTAGACGAGAGACCGTAATAAATGACCTACTCGTTAAGTACTACTGGTACCAGATGTTTTTTTACGATTATGCAGGTCAGCCAAATCCCGGTGAAACAGGTAAAACATATTTTGCGGAGTTCCCTTGGATGGTAGCCCTTCTTAAGGTACAACCTAACGGTAAATACCTGTTCCAATGCGGGGGGTCCATGATTACTAACAATGCGGTGCTCACGGCCGCGCATTGCGTCAGCGAGTAAGTTCCATCGGTATAGCAATAAAATCAATACTTCAATTTGTTTTTAACATATCAATTAAATGAACGTATTAAAAAATGAGGAACAATTTGCTAGTCGGGAGAACGGGCGACTGATAGCACGTTTTGGTCAATGGAACCTTGAGAGCCAACCGTATGACCAACCTGTGCCCTTCCAAGACGCAAACATAAAAGCCATAGTGACCCATCCTTCGTTTTATAGCGGCGCTTTGTTCAACGATATAGCAGTGGTAATTTTGGATAAGCCGGTGAAACAAAGTGTCAACGTAATCCCTGTTTGTGTCCCGCAGCAGGGACTGATTTTTCCTACCGGTACCAAATGTGTTGCCACGGGTTGGGGAAGAAATTCTTTCGGTAATTGCCGCTATTTCCATTGTCACTGCAAACGCCTTGAAACTTTACGACTTTCAGGTGGAACCTATCAAACCGAAATGCGAAAGGTGGAATTACCAATCGTCGACCGGACCGACTGCCAAAATAGACTGAGAACTACGAGATTAGGATTACAATTTCAATTGCACAGTTGTTTTATGTGCGCGGGCGGCGAATCGAACAAAGACACGTGCAGCGGGGACGGCGGCGGTCCTCTGGTCTGTGTCACAGCTACCGGACAGTATTTTCAGGTGAATAAATTATTTGAAAAAACTATTCCGCATTAAGCAGAGAAAATATGGAATAAGGTTTGTTCCAGGCTGGTATCGTGTCTTGGGGAATCGGCTGCGGCTCGTCAAATATTCCCGCTGTATACACGAGCGTTGCGCAATACACGCAGTGGATTAATCAGCAACTGGCGACGTACGGCACGTAAGGAATAAACGCGCATGACGAGCCTTCTACATCTAGTCTTTTCTATTGATTTATGATGGACGTTTTTGTATTGTACATGACAGGTTTTAAAGAATAAATGATCTACCGATGTATGTGTCGTCATACGGGCGTAATAAAGAAAAAATTTTGCTGTTATTTTAACTCTTCCGATAGCCGTGATCGTCTAGTGGTTAGGACCCTACGTTGTGGCCGTAGTAACCCAGGTTCGAATCCTGGTCACGGCAATGTGCACAAAGATCACATTGTCACGGTGGAAGCTTTCTTTTTATTATTCACCATCGATACAAGGATACAATACATAAAGTTGTATTCGTTGTAATCAATTTTAAATCCCTAATAACTTTTCTTAGAATTGTACTGCAACAAACATAACGTAAATTTGCCTAATGACTAATAACGACGGAAAACTCATATGGCGTCAGTTATTCTTGGAATAAAAACATGCGACACTGGGTCACTAGGCTTTGAGAAGTATTGATTATAACTTTCAGCTGGCAGTCAATTACCTGTATTATTAAGCTCGCGTGTCGGTAAGCCTGATACGGATCTCGCGATACAAGTTATCAGAAAATCTGAACGTCTAATGACAGAAAACTATATAAAGTGACACATATCGTTCTGACCCATTTTTAACATGCGACATGCATCTGTTTTTTTAATGTTAAATTATTGCGATGATATCAACGTAGTTATCACAGATTTAATGTGAATCGAATAAAATTACTTTACCGTCAGACTTTTTCTTGGACAAGAAATGCT